CACCCTTCAAGAGCGTGTTTGGTGCGCCGTCTGCTTCCGATTCTGCCAAGGCACCCGCTGCGCCACTTTTCAAGGGTGCGTTTGGTGCGCCGCCTGCTTCCGAGACTGCCAAGGCACCCGCTGCGTCACCCTTCAAGAGTGCGTTTGGTGCGCCGTCTGCTTCCGATTCTGCCAAGACACTAGCTCCGCAGGGTTTTTCGAAAAGCTGTGCTTTTTCCTCTACTGTTGGTAATGAAGTTTCTACAGGATTTCCCTTGACTAGTTCTTGTGGGCAACCAACTGTGACGACTGTGTTACCCAAAGACTCGCCGTCTTTTGTGAAGAATGCTGGCAAGGACAGCGAAGAGGCGAAGAACAGTTTGGGGGTTGATATGGGTGGTGATGGTGATGGTTCATGGAAGTGTGCCGTGTGTGGAAAAACTAAGGGTCTTAGCGGGGAGCATTTGCGCGGTAGGACTGAGGTGCGTTCAGATTGCTGGCCATGTGCAAAAAAGACTACATTTAAACGCCAAACAGGTGCGTCAGTTGTGTGTGACCAGAAGCAGTCATTGAGGGTTGATGAAAAACCTGTGGCAACTGTCGCCAAGGTGGTGGGTGCCATTGAGTGCGCTGCGGAGTTTGGCTGTCCGGTGGTTCCAACCGAGAAAAATGAGCATCAGTGTCTTGTTTTGACAGACGCAACTGCACAGAAAAAGTCCCCATCGGCAGTTGAGGGTTCGAGTGGGTGGAGATGTCGTGTGTGCGATAAGCTCAAACCGCTTTCTGGAGCTCATCTCAATGGGAAGACTGAAGTCAGGAGCGATTGTTGGCCATGTGGGCGTAAATGCACGTTCTACCTGGCACCCCCCAGAGGACCCACGGTATGTGAGGCTGCTGAAGTATCTAGGGGCAAGGCGACGACTCCACCCCTGCAGAGCAGTACAACCATGGAAATAGGTCAGCAACCTTCGTCAGGACACTGCGCCCCCCAAAGTGTTTCAGAATCCTTCCCAAACACTATGGTGGCGGCGTCAACCTCTTACAGTGCAAATGCGCCTCTGACTTTACCTGGCGAGGGTAAAGCTGGTGCATCACCCGCTGCTGAGACTGCCAAGGCACCCGCTGCGTCACCGTTCAAGAGCGTCTTTGGTGCGCCGTCTGCTTTCGAGACTGCCAAGGCACCCGCTGCGNACTCCACCCCTGCAGAGCAGTACAACCATGGAAATAGGTCAGCAACCTTCGTCAGGACACTGCGCCCCCCAAAGTGTTTCAGAATCCTTCCCAAACACTATGGTGACGGCGTCAACCTCTTACAGTGCAAATGCGCCTCTGACTTTACCTGGCGAGGGTAAAGCTGGTGCATCACCCGCTGCTGAGACTGCCAAGGCACCCGCTGCGCCATTCTTCAAGGGTGCGTTTGGTGCGCCGCCTGCTTCTGAGACTGCCAAGGCACCCGCTGCGTCACCCTCCAAGAGTGTGTTTGGTGCGCCGTCTGCTTCTGAGACTGCCAAGGCACCCGCTGCGCCATTCTTCAAGGGTGCGTTTGGTGCGCCGCCTGCTTCTGAGACTGCCAAGGCACCCGCTGCGTCACCGTTCAAGAGCGTCTTTGCTGCGCCGTCTGCTTCTGAGACTGCCAAGGCACCCGCTGCGCCATTCTTCAAGGGTGCGTTTGGTGCGCCGCCTGCTTCNCGGCGTCAACCTCTTACAGTGCAAATGCGCCTCTGACTTTACCTACCGAGGGTAAAGCTGGTGCATCGCCCGCTGCTGAGACTGCCAAGGCACCCGCTGCGTCACCGTTCAAGAGCGTCTTTGGTGCGCCGTCTGCTTCCGAGACTGCCAAGGCACCCGCTGCGTCACCCTCCAAGAGTGTGTTTGGTGCGCCGTCTGCTTCCGAGACTGCCAAGGCACCCGCTGCGTCATTCTTCAAGGGTGCGTTTGGTGCGCCGTCTGCTTCCGAGACTGCCAAGGCACCCGCTGCGTCACTCTTCAAGAGTGTGTTTGGTGCGCCGTCCGCTTCGGAGACTGCCAAGGCACCCGCTGCGTCACCGTTCAAGAGCGCGTTTGGTGCTCCACCTGTTGTGGACGTTGGGGAGACATCGATTCTGCCTGTGGTAATGTGTAGAGGTGTTAATTCACCTGTTTCTGAGATAGACGTGTCCATGGGGGTTTTGTCGAGAGGCGTGGATGGAGTACAGGCTTATTCTATTGAGAATATCATGGGGTGTCGCTCTTCCATCGATGTAAAGGGCTCATTTGAAGCACCGAATGAAGGGCGTTGTCGTCAATCTGTTTTTGTGTCGCCTTTAATTCCTTCGGAAGACGAAGAGTATGCTGCTGAGGCCTCTGATGGCAGTTTTAGGCAGCATCCTCCATTCAATTGTGATGCTTCTGCTCTTCCTGGTGTGATGAAAAAGACAGAATACGTGTTTGGATATTCTAATGAATCAGATGAAGAAACTGAGGGAAACGTGAAAAAAAGTGGAGATGTGGATAGGAAGGGAGACATGGCATCACTTCTGAGTGCTTTTGAGCAGATAGTGGGTACGTTGCGAAGAGATTTAATATCAGATTTAAAAAGCGAAATAGAGTTGTGGCGCATTTCTGTAGAGGGAAAAGTTGGGGATGTTTCCGTTGGTTTGCCACAAGCCTCCAAGAACAGTAATGTGATCGGGGGTCGGCGCGCAGAGGAGAACGTTGGGCACTCTAGGACTGTGCGGGCCCACTTGGCGAATGCGTTTCGTAAGGATTATTGATGTTTAACCTTGTTTCATGTTGCACAACAAAAGCACTTTTGTGAGTGTGGTACTTGCCTTCTGTTACAGTCATTGCCGTCATATAAATTTTTTTTTGCTGTTCTCTACATCCGAGAAAATGCAATCCTATCCTACGCGACTCGATGCAATTTGTGAAGAAGTGCACGGCGATTTCACATCATCTGGTGTGAGTAGTGTTCAGTTACTTTGTCAACAGATTAGAAGGCTGCGTATAAATGCTCACCGCCTCACAACGGAGCAGATTCCCTCACTAGGGGTAGATATCACTGCACTCCAAGAACCTCATTTAAGAAGCCTACAACAAACGAACATGGATGTCGGCATCGATGAGTGCAAGCCAACCGCAGCAAACGTTATCCTTGGAGCAGAATCCCTCTTTTCACACTGTAAAAAACTAAGTACAGACGTGACTCGTGGGCTGCACAGGGTAGCTGGGAAAGAGCACTATCCAATAAATTTGTTTGCGATTGGGTACACTCCACAGTACTACAAGAAACAGCACCCAAGCTACAAGGCCATACAGACTACACAACAAGCAATTCAACCACAACGGCTACAAACTCCTCCACCGTCCGGTTACACGGCGGACGAGCAACTTTCAGTGCAACAAGTACTGACACAAGAAACAACAGATATTGTGCCATCAACAAAGAAAAATGAAAAATCTGCACCGTTTGGACAGCAAGCCGGAGGCGACAAGCCCGCACCGTTTGGGCAGTCAGCCGGGGGCGACAAGCCAGCACCGTTTGGACAGCCAGCCGGGGGCGACAAACCAGCACTGTTTGGACAGCCAGCCGGAGGCGACAAGCCCGCACTGTTTGGGCAGCCAGCCGGGGGCGACAAGCCCGCACCGTTTGGGCAGCAAGCCGGAGGCGACAAGCCATCA